AAATGATTAAAATTAATGACGACTCTACTCAGTATTTGCATTTACTGTTTTTTTATTATTATAAAACTCATTTAGCTATTCAATGATTTGAAAATTGTAGAATATATCTGATAATAACATTTAATTTTTATAACTCAGATTGTGACATGTGATCATTAAAAAGATGTCAAACTGCAGNTATATTTTTTTCATTAAAAATTGAGAAAGTGAGGCGATACAAGGGTCGTGTGTCATATCTCTTGAATAATTGAAATTAATGACGACTCTACTCGGTATTTGCATTTACTGTTTTTTTTTTATTATTATAAAACTCATTTAGCTATTCAATGATTTGAAAATTGTAGAATATATCTGATAATAACATTTAATTTTTATAAATCAGATTGTGACATGTGATTATTAAAAAGATGTCAAACTGCAATCATACGTGTGATTTTTATATTAAAAGATTCTGGCGCTCGGTTGCTGAACTATTTCATGACATTCTGTATGTCATTTCGTCACTTATAATCGCTTCACTTATATTTACTTCTTCAGATTGATGTGTGATATATAAAGGTTGTGGAGTTTGTATATCCTGAATCAATGGTTCGATTTTTTTTAGTTCTACAAACCTTTCGTTAATCCAACCCTCGTTAAAAATTTGATACATTTTTGAGAAATGTACAGCAGTTATTAAAATTCAAAATAAGAGAAAAAGGTTCGTACCTCCATACACATTAACATACATATCAATAAATACAGTGTAAACGCTCAGCATTATTGTTTTTGGAAGTTCAAAAGTCTTTTGTGTCGAAAAATATGAAATACTTGATAGTCTATTTTCTTGTAATAACTTTCTTCTGTTATAAGTTATAACTGCCGGAAAAGTAACATTCACTTATTGTTATATTTTATCGCACTAAGAATCATTTTTCCCATATATACTCTATTCTCTACGTGACTTGGAATATTTGAAAATTGAATACATACAAGTAATACTCTGCTTAACATCTGTGACTTCTTGTAGAAAATTACACATGAGAAAGTGAACAGAAAGCGTATTTTCTAATAATATTAAAATATATTTTATTGTATTTTCATATATTGAAACGATGTTTACTTTCTATTTCCTACTGTTTACGTTTATAATCTTACCCTTTCTTACTAAGCCCTGCAATACGAAATACTTAATACAAAAGTGTATAAATAGTCTGTATGATAATTATACTGCAATAGTTTACAAACTAACTGTAAGCATTTTTTCTGTATATCAGAAAAATCTGATACTTATTATACAGTCGATCCCCCTATAACGTGGGTTCCTATAACGGAGATTCCTATAACGTAGCGAAAAAATTGCGACAGTATTCGTATAAGGACGCTAAAAGGAACTCGTAAAACGTCGTCGCCGATTTGTGTCGCGACAGGATTGGTCGAATCTGGACTAATAGTGGATGAGCAGCTGAACTACTTTCTGCCATCTAGCGCCACGCTACAGAGAGTTTAGGCGGGTAAATTGAGTCTACTATCGTCTGTACAGTATTATATATAAATTATATATAAATTAGGTACTGTATATATCTATAATATAATCGAGACGGGTTGATGACAATAATAATAAGTGCAGAGCCCAAATGGTTAAAAGTTGAAAGTTGAAATTTGGTACATAGATAGAGTACGTCAAGAAAACGCACACTAAGAAGGGATTTTTCGAAATTCCTCCCGGGGGGGAGAAAGACAGGATTAAGGCTTAACACTTCCATCAACAATGGAAGTGTTAAGTAACAATGGAAGTGTTAGGTAACAATGGAAGTGTTAAGTAACAATGGAAGTTTTAAGTAACAATGGAAGTGTTACGTAACAATGGTATTGTTAAGAGACAGCGACGTGCAAGATTTACAGGCGCAGATGCAGTTCTTTCGTTTTTGCGGGAAATCGAACATATTTTTAGAACCATCTAAAAGTTCTCTAATTAGTCTGGAAACAAGGGGACTCAATTCTTGCATTCTGTGAAAACGAGTAAGGTTGACTGTAACGTAATAATCTTTATCTTAGTTATCGTTACTTTTGCCCGAGCAACGCCGGGCCCACCTGCTAGTTNTCGATTTTCCGAATCAATTGGGGACTGGGGTTGTCCGGATAACTGATATTTCGGATAACTGATTTACGTACGAAAAAATAGTTTAACGTATCCGATGCCGAAATTTTTCTCCGTTGCGTGTCGCTTCGCGTTGAATTTTCGTCGATGTTAAGCCTAACAAAGACTATTGTATAGTTAAAAATTATTTTTTTATTTTGTACGAACAAAATAAATATATTGAAAAATATAAAAATAATAAAAAATTATACTTCAGAAGTTAATTTAGTATCAAAAACGTAAAATATTTGAGTAGCCCAAGACACAGCCAAAGATTGCAGTGCCACAGCACTGGCGAAAATTTAAATCTGCCGACTGGAATTCTTTCGGATGAATGACGTTTCGGATGATTGACTTTCGGATAATTGACGCTCTACTGTATTACATAATCTGATTTCATTTTATTTATGATTTGCAAACAAATACAGTGGTACCTCAGGATACAGCAGTACCTCTAATCATGAAAATGTCGTAAGGTGAATCATTTTTCCCCCATACGATTACATGTAAAATCAAATAATTCGTTCCAACAGGAAAAACACACTCAAATTAAAGCTAAGTAGTACATTTAAAAAAATAACTATAGTAAGGAAAACACTGACAAACGCGTTTTGTAGTTGTAAATGTATAAATAACCATAATACAATAATAAATGATAAAAAAAATGTAATTTTACTTGCACTTTACCTTCGAGGATAGACGGACAGTGGCGATGTAAACTGGTGGCGGAAGAGAGGAATAAGGGAAATGATACTAAAACTTAACTTACATAAGATAATGTAACAATAACTTAAAAATAACTTAGAAAAGATTAAAAAATTAGTGTTGTTTTATATATATATTTTTAAAATTTTTATTCACTGCTTTTTTTTCATTCCTTCACTTCATCCAGCATTATCACTGGATACAGGTCGCTTGGTAAAATATCTATCCAAAGAGGTTTGGCTTTGCCTACTTTTTAAAATGTTTCTAAAATGACTTAAGCAAATGTGATTACTCTGAGCAGCAATACGGCCAGTGTGAACCTTTTCGGGATGTTTCTTTTCAATAAAATTAGTCACTTTCTGATAATATCTCAAGATTTCTTTTATCTAGCGAGATTCATGACGAAGCAAACACGCGGACTGAGACCAATGAACAGAAGTGAAAAAAAAATGGCGCTGCGAACTAATGTAACGTCGTATGGTGAGTTTTTGTTCCTATCGTGGAGCAAAAATATGTTCGAATTTCATGTCGTATCCCGAAAATTTCGTATGCTGGGGCATTCGTATCCTGAGGTACCACTGACATAGCCAAACATTGCAGCGCCACAGTACTGGCGAAAATTTAAATCTGCCGACTGGAATTCTTTCAGATGAATGACGTTTCGGATGATTGACTTTCGGATAATCGACGCTCTACTGTATTACATAATCCGATTTCATTTTATTTATGATTTGCAAACAAATAAACTGAACTAGTACCAAAAAGTTGAGAATGAGTAAAGTTAAAGGATTTCATTAGTTATAGCCAAACAAGATCATAGGATGTCCGAAAATTTGCAGTGTGATAAATATTCATTAATTTATCAAATTGACCGGTCATTATGAATACTGCTATCACCTAGTCGGGCAAAGTAATAATATAATACGGTGAAAAGTAATCATCCTACATACGCTAGCCAATTGGCACTTTGAGTTGCTGGTTGTACCGTGTTGAGTGCATATTGCGTTTAGTACTGAATTTTAAATTGTGCGACATTTTAATTCGATTAAAAATACTCCACTTATTTCATTTAGAAATATTTATTTTTTGTGAATTATTTCAAAGTATTTAAAAAACATGTAATCTTTTAAAACTAAGTACNAACTCCACTTATTTCATTTAGAAATATTTATTTTTTGTGAATTATTTCAAAGTATTTAAAAAACATGTAATCTTTTAAAACTAAGTACTATTAACTACATTAATTAAATGGTAAAATTTTACCTATGTGCACCGTAATGGCGGCAGTCGCAACTGTTTGTACTCCTGACGGATTCCTCCCAGAGGGAAGCTGTCGGCGGGCTGCCAATTATATATTAACGTCACTAGATATTGATACATACTAGTTATTGATAAGTGTGCTCAAGAAAATCGTGAATCAATATCTAGTGACGTTAAACAATACACGGCCTGCCGGCAGCAGCCCTCCGGGAGGAATCCGTCGGAACCACAAACAGACGCAACTGCCCCAAATTCACTACTAAACGCAACACGCACGCGCAACTGAGATGCGAGTGCTGATTAGCTAGCGTATTTTGGATGATCACCCTTCGACGCATTATTATCACTTTGCCCGAATAGATGATAGCAGTAATCATAATGACCGGTCAATTTGATAAATTATTGAAATTTATTACAATGCCAGATTTTGTTTGTCATTACTCATAATGACCGGACATTATGAATAATGCCCATATTAATCACTTTGTCGATAACATATATATATATATTTAGTCTTTTAAAAATACTTTCAATAAGCCAACACCGGTTCCTTAAATCGTCTCGCGGTTCAAATATCCGACATCAGTGGTATAAAAAAATGAATGTTACATAAAATACTCCAAACTATCGCAAGATAATTTACACTTGATGTCAAAGAGCCGTATTGAGAATATGTTGAGTGTTATTTTCATGAATAACAAATAGAAACTTATACAACTTCTTAGATTTCTAACCTTAATTATAATATAAAAACAATGTAAATTTAAATTGTTTCTTTAGCAGATAAGATAACCGATTGGAGAGATAACTATATGTTGTTATTATTATTATTCTAAATTATTTTTTATACAGATATATTTTTTCACTTTTATAAAAATTTTATTTTTGAACAGAAATAATACATACCTTGTATGTTTCTTATCTGATACATCACACAGAAAAAAACTGTAAAATCATTACGCTACAACTGTCTTTATTCCGTGGTTCAGACATTATTAATTAAGCATATTATTCCCCAATATACCTTGAAAGTTTTTAAAATGCTATTCTACAATTGTAAATAATTTTCAAAAACATCATATAAATGTTAACTGAGCAGCAAAAGATTAACATATTTTAATTCACTTGTGACCACTAACTTTTATCACATAAACAAATGTTATGTTTTTCAGAAAGATTTCGATCATTGGACATTTTTTATCCAAACCTTTATATTGGACATCCTCAATATTTTCGATTCAAAAATGATTAATCATAAATTTAACAACATTTTCTTATCAATGTTACAGTAAAAAATTGTAAATTTGAGATTTCAGCAATATAAATTCTTACATGAAACAGATGATTGAAGACATGTTTGTAAGAAGAAAGATTTAAAAGAGATCTATTAATCCAGAACTTACAAGAAATAATTTGTATAGTAAGCATCCATTCACTTATAATTTTGTATTTAATATAATTTGTCGATCATAGAATTTATCTTTGGCAATATTATAAAGTTCACTCATTGAAGTCTTTCCTGTGTTCTTTACTAAATTATAAAAAGTACCATTTACATCCTTTAGTAACGCATACGGCGAATCAAATTCTTGAATAATTCCTCTATGTAATACCTAAAAATTTTCAAAATTTAAATGAAACTCATATTATTTATCTTCGTTTACGTCATAAAACTTACCATAACTCTGTCTGAATCGATAATAGTATTTAATCTATGTGCTATCGTTAACACTGTACAAGATGTAAAATTCTCCCGAATAATCTTCTGGATATATGTGTCAGTACTACAAGAAATATATATACGTTAGTAAGTTAATATATATATTTCATAATATTAAATATTGTTTATATTTAATGTAATCGTATATGTAATCGTATATATATTTGATGTATCGTATAGAAATATATACTGTATACGTTAGTAAGTTAATATATATATTTTATAATATTAAATATTGTTTATATTTGATGTAATCGTATGTTTGAATATTAACAAAAAAAATACAAATGATATAAAATTTATTAATAAGTACGAAGCACTAACATTGAACGACAAAGTAATTCTTAATTAACAATGATGACTGCAACGATGGCTTCCGGTACGCATTTACAAGAACAATTGTAAATACAGGGAATAAGAAACTTCGATGGAGTTTTTGGAATATAAAATGTTTCCATAAAAGTACAGGAGACGCTTGAAAGCATTGTTGAAGTCCACAATATAGACTGATACTATTGATACATTGTTGAAGTCCACAATAGACTGGTTTTATAAATAGAAATCGGTTAATGGAATTGTCAAATCCAACAACGCCCTCATTATAGGTGTGTTGAATTTACATTTTATGAAAAAACCAGAAAGACTCAACTCATTGTCATATCAGGAAATAGAGTAAATTCGCATCACTTTGTTCTTGTACAGATCACTAAATATAGAATAATTGATAAATCACACCAAGTATAAAAATACCTGTATCTAAAATCAAAAAGACACAATCGGATAACACAGAACACATAACAATCGCTAAACATGAGTAACAATCTCGAAGCTATATCTTTGCATTGTAGAACAAGTTATCACACAGGAATTTCCTTATCTCCAATGAGAACATCTTTGATTGCAAAGATTATAAAAGTAGATTTTTCTTACTTCGAGAGTTGTTTCGAAGTAGCGCAATAACAGCAGAGTGTTCGGTTCGCAGTGTAAATTTTCTTTGTTTAAAGTTTTTCACGATGTTTTTTCCTATGACTTTAATCCACTCGACTAGTATATGTTTGGTAAGCATAAATTGTGATTATTTTTATTCTGTAAATAAATAATAACTGAAAATTTTTAACGTTTAACATAATTAATATTAAGTTTTTAAAATTATTGTTACAATAAAAATTTATATTTAATACAAGCTAGAAAATTTAACACAAAAACGTGTAGTGGCTAGAGTATACTCTACTAAAAACTTTTACCTAAAACTCTAAATACACGAAAATTATTGTTATTTATTAGGGAATGGATCTAATTTTCCGATATAAATGCTGAATATATAATTGATGAAAACAAAAAAACAAACAAATAATAATAATTAATTAAATATAGAATAAATGAATAATATGTATTTACACAATAGTTTATATGGTTACATTAAAATGTGAAATTAAACAACTCAGTCATCTTACATTTTATCGATATTGGATGTTGCTTCGTCCATGACAAGAATTTTATTCTGACAAAGGATTGTCCTGGCAAGACAAATTAACTGTCTTTCTCCCACGCTGAAATTTCTTCCTCCTTCTGTTAAATGTGTGTCCATTCCTCCAGGCAAATTTTTTATAACATCTTTCAACTGTACCTAAAACATTTTATTCAATAAGTTTGTGATTAATAGAATTATCTAATCAATTTATACAGTGGAGCACTGTTTAGACACTTTTTAAGAAATTAGACATGACCAATAATAAAAAATATGTAGTTAACGTAGATATAAATTTCGATTACACAATATTGCAAAACTTATAGTTGTACTTAAGAACTGATAAATTAAAGATTTTTACCAAAATATTTTGTTTTAGTATTAACATCCTTAGTAACAAATTCTAAAATTATTTTCAAATTTTCAACAATGAAATGCAACTGAAAATGAATTGTATTGTATTGTGTTATTTAGAACAGTTTTATAACATAACATGGGGAAGTATACTAATCATCTAAAATTTTTAATTCATTGTTAATATCCTGAAAGCTATAACGTAACTTGCAATACATTCTGATTATTATAATTTTGTAATCGTCTAGCATTTCTTCCTTGTCTAGCATTTCTTCCTTTGTGTTTCTAAAATCCTAATGTTTTGACATGTGTAAAGTAAAAAGAGCCAAAAAATTTTCGTCCAAAATGTGTGTGTGTGTGTTTAGGTCTATTCTGTTTCATATCTAAAAATGGAAAAAATATAAAGGAACGAAATTTGGCTTGGTAACATGTCTTTAAGTATCATTGGGATATTAAATCTTGTTGGAAAAATTTTGAGGGAATGAAGAGCTAGAGTTGAGTCCACATATATCTCGCTCAAGAGGGGTCAAACGTATTGAAGATTTTACTTTTTATTAGCATTTACAATTTTTTTTTATAAAACTCATTCCTGCTCTGAAAATTAAGCTTTAACCATTTGATAATAATTAATAATATTACAATTTTTTAAACAAAAAGTCATAACATATGAAGCTACACACAATTTTCTATATTATTACTAATATAAATTTATATTTCTAATGAAATGTCTTAACAGCCGGAAAATTAATGTAACACATAGCTGGATTTTCTTAGTTTTAATATGTTTTCGTTACGAATAAATACATAGTTTATATTCAAACTTATAAGAATTGTTCGTTGTAATTTGCTTCATATTATGTTTTAGTTAATTCAAACATTATTTTTATGAATTTTTTTACAGTTCTGGAATATCTTAAATAGGCAAAATTTTCATGCATAATATAATAACAGGTAACTTGTTTCTGTGAGATGTAATATTAATACTAAATTGTGTAATATTTATTGAATTAATGGTTTATTTAATTCAATTAATTTTTTATTAATTGAATTAAACAATTCAATTTATTATATTGAATTAAAGTGTGAAAAATCAGACTACAACGTAAACAATTTAACATCGAAGCATCAACTGTCACACGTGTAAGTAAATTATTTTTAAGTTTGCAGCAGTGAAAGCAACGCTTTTTCATAACCTCCTGACGTACTATCTCGATTTCTACAAATCAATATAGTCAGAAACTGCAAGTTTAGGCAGTTGTTGCCAGTCCCTGAACGGAATATCATCTCTTATCTAGTGTCTAATATACCTAGTCCTTGCAGATACTTCAGTCCTATGGGTAATTACTCGTCTACGGGTACGCATTTTGAAGGAGAACTCTATCTCATGGGACTAAGATACATTGCTACACGATTAATAACACCTCCCAAGAACGAGCATCAGATTATTTTCGAACATCATCACCCCAACGTATTTATCGCCAACTGAATCTCATGTAAACTCTGTCTCGCACTGCTAGAAGGATAGGCTAATTCGGTATAACCTAATATATCTATTGTAAATTGTATCATGTTGTCTATGTAATAAAATCGTTAGTAATTGTTAATTTGGTACCTGAGTGATTTACTTCCAGTACTCTGTCTCTCAACCAATCTTCATCCTGAATCTGATCGCTTGTGCATGCGTCCATTTCCCTGACCGAATCAACACGCCGTTTCGGCTTCAGTGTCAATCGGGACACGGTAATGTCAGTTATGACAAGACACTAAAGAGGCATCCTCCAGCCACAAAATAATTTAATTCAATTAATATTACATAATTTTGTTTTGGATTTATAAAAACAATAATGTGAGAATGGAGTAAAGTATGTGTTGTAAAAGTTTCAGAATAAGTTTTATACAAAACTGTTGTAACAGGATGAAAACAAGTTTTATGACAATTTTCGTAAACAAGTTTAAAATCTATAAATTGAAATTTTATCGTATTAAAAAATACGGTAGTCTTGATAATAATATAAAATCACAAATAAATAAAAAGACGTTTACAACATATATACCTATAAGCGGCGATCTACTGTAATAAAATCAAATCGAAACAAAGCTGTAAATTTAAAGTACTCGTTTATTTCTTACTTTTTCGATTGCTTGCCATAACATTTCTTCTGAATATTCGTTGAAAGGGTCGATGTTTCTGCGAAGAGGACCAGTAAATAACACCGGATCCTATAAATAACATACAAACTGTATTTATTGTTTATATTTTTGAACTCGTAAAATAAAATAATTTATTTGCAATCAGTGAAAAATATTCCAAAATATATTGTAATAATCATTGTGAATAACAAGCTGATAGAAAAACAACGTGAGCATATCTCTTTGAGAGTACAATTAAATTTATTTATATTTTACAAACTTTAAATGATTCAATATTAGAAAATATGCAATTAGTTAAAATTTTTTTACCTTGTGGACACAAAATTGATCCAATTATATTAATGCCTTTTTGCTAACACAAAGGAGTGGTTCAAATACGAAGAAAAAAGACCGTATTTGTACTATAAAATAAAATTTTTAAGAACTAAAACCGTACTTCTCTAATTTAGTATAAAGTTTTTGAAAATTTTTAAATATATATATAGTTTATTTCTATTAATGTCCCAGTAGAAATTTTCATTACATACAAATTCAGACTGCAGCCTGATTATTGGAATTCTAGACATTCAGGGTTATCAGGTACCTGTTTAATAATATCGTATTTTATATTTAATTTTGCAGTTATAGAAATGATATTAGTACATTCTGCTATATTTCACTCCAGACTCTCTGCTAATATAAGAATTAGTCAAGTCATTTTTGTGAAATTTATATCATATAAACATTCAAATAGATATTCTTCCTGTTTACATAGAAAACTAATGTAAGAAGAAGCTCTAAAATACATTTTCTATTCTAACAATTTATAGGTATAAAGTATACAGTCATACGTGATTTATGAGTAACTATTAAGACATGCAGAGTACACACAATCACAACTACTATTGCTTATCTTTGTTTTTTGTGAGGAAATTATTGTTCTGGTAATGTTGCCTGTATTAATTAATAAATAATACACTTAGGAAGTAAAATAGTTAAATTAATAAATAAATACACAATGCACGAATAAATACGTATAAAAATAAAAATGACTGCAAAAAATAAAGTCGTTTATTGTTCTTTTTAAATTACATTGAATATAAAATGCAATATCTGAAATAAGGAATTATAAAGACTGCCAGTAATCTGCCGTATAATCTGTTTAGATTATATGGTACTTTACTGGCATATCTTAAATGCGAGCGAAATTGCATTAAAANTGTCATAACAGATGAAGCTACACACAATTTTCTATATTATTATTAATATAAAATTTATATTTCTAATGAAATGTCTTATCAGCCGGAAAATTAATGTAACTTGTAGCTGGATTTTCTTACTTTTAATATATTTTCGTTACGAATAAATGCAAAGTTTATATTCAAACTTATAAGAATTGTTCGTTGTAATTTGCCTCAAATTAATATGTTTTAGTTAATTCAATCATTATTTTTATGAATTTTTTTACAGTTCTGGAATATCTTAAATAGGCCAAATTTGCATGCATAATATAATAACAGGTTACCTTGTTTCTGTGAGATGTAATATTAATACTAAATTGTTTAATATTTATTGAATTAAACAGTTTAATTTATTATATTTGATTAATTAAAGTGTGAAAAATCAGACTTCAACGTAAACAATTTAACATCCAAACATCAAATGACACACGTGGAAGTAAATTATTTTTAAGTTTTCAGCAGTGAAAGCAACGCTTTCTCATTACCTCCTGACGTACTATCTCGATTTCTCCAAATCAATATAGTCAGAAACTGCAAGATTAGGCAGTTGTTGTCAGTCCCTCAGCGGAATATCATCTCTTATCTAGTGCCTAATTTAGTGTCAACAGATATAGCTAGTCCTTGCGGATACTTCAGTCCTATGGGTAATTCCTTGTCTACGGGTACGCATTTTGAAGGCGAACTCTATCTCATGGGACTAAGATACAATGCTACACGATCAAGAACACCTCACAAGAACGAGCATCAGACTATTTTCGAACTCATCATCGCAACGTATTTATCGCCACCTGAATCTCATGTAAACTCTCTGTCTCGCGACTGCTAGAAGGATAGGCTAATTCGGTATAACCTAATATATCTATTGTAAATTGTATCATGTTGTCTACGTAATAAAATCGTTAGTAGCTGTTAATTTGGTACCTGAGTGATTCACTTCCGGTACTCTGTCTCTCAACCAATCTTCATCCTGAATCTGATCGCTTGTGCATGCGGCCATTTGCGTGACCGAATCAACACGCCGTTTCGGCTTCACTGTCAATCGGAACACGGTAATGTCAGTCCTGACAAGACACTAAAGGGGCACCCCCCAGTCACAAAATAATTTAATTCAATTAATATTACATAATTTTGTTTAGGATTTGTAAAAACAATAATGTGAGAATGGAGTAAAGTATGTGTTGTATAAATTTCAGAATAAGTTTTACAAAAAATGTTGTAATAGATACATTACTTTTAACAGAATGAAAACAAGTTTTATGACAATTTTCGTAAACAAGTTTAAAGTATATAAATTGAAATTTTATCGTAGAAAAAAATACGGTAGTCTTGATAANTAATGGTTTATTTAATTCAATTAATTTTTTATTAATTGAATTAAACAATTCAATTTATTATATTGAATTAAAGTGTGAAAAATCAGACTACAACGTAAACAATTTAACATCGAAGCATCAACTGTCACACGTGTAAGTAAATTATTTTTAAGTTTGCAGCAGTGAAAGCAACGCTTTTTCATAACCTCCTGACGTACTATCTCGATTTCTACAAATCAATATAGTCAGAAACTGCAAGTTTAGGCAGTTGTTGCCAGTCCCTGAACGGAATATCATCTCTTATCTAGTGTCTAATATACCTAGTCCTTGCAGATACTTCAGTCCTATGGGTAATTACTCGTCTACGGGTACGCATTTTGAAGGAGAACTCTATCTCATGGGACTAAGATACATTGCTACACGATTAATAACACCTCCCAAGAACGAGCATCAGATTATTTTCGAACATCATCACCCCAACGTATTTATCGCCAACTGAATCTCATGTAAACTCTGTCTCGCACTGCTAGAAGGATAGGCTAATTCGGTATAACCTAATATATCTATTGTAAATTGTATCATGTTGTCTATGTAATAAAATCGTTAGTAATTGTTAATTTGGTACCTGAGTGATTTACTTCCAGTACTCTGTCTCTCAACCAATCTTCATCCTGAATCTGATCGCTTGTGCATGCGTCCATTTCCCTGACCGAATCAACACGCCGTTTCGGCTTCAGTGTCAATCGGGACACGGTAATGTCAGTTATGACAAGACACTAAAGAGGCATCCTCCAGCCACAAAATAATTTAATTCAATTAATATTACATAATTTTGTTTTGGATTTATAAAAACAATAATGTGAGAATGGAGTAAAGTATGTGTTGTAAAAGTTTCAGAATAAGTTTTATACAAAACTGTTGTAACAGGATGAAAACAAGTTTTATGACAATTTTCGTAAACAAGTTTAAAGTATATAAATTGAAATTTTATCGTAGAAAAAAATACGGTAGTCTTGATAATAATATAAAATCACAAATAAATAAAAAGACGTTTACAACATATATACCTATAAGCGGCGATCTACTGTAATAAAATCAAATCGAAACAAAGCTGTAAATTTAAAGTACTCGTTTATTTCTTACTTTTTCGATTGCTTGCCATAACATTTCTTCTGAATATTCGTTGAAAGGGTCGATGTTTCTGCGAAGAGGACCAGTAAATAACACCGGATCCTATAAATAACATACAAACTGTATTTATTGTTTATATTTTTGAACTCGTAAAATAAAATAATTTATTTGCAATCAGTGAAAAATATTCCAAAATATATTGTAATAATCATTGTGAATAACAAGCTGATAGAAAAACAACGTGAGCATATCTCTTTGAGAGTACAATTAAATTTATTTATATTTTACAAACTTTAAATGATTCAATATTAGAAAATATGCAATTAGTTAAAATTTTTTTACCTTGTGGACACAAAATTGATCCAATTATATTAATGCCTTTTTGCTAACACAAAGGCACTAAACGTTCAAATACGAAGAAAAAAGACCGTATTTGTACTATAAAATAAAATTTTTGAGAACTAAAACCGTACTTCCCTAATTTTGTATAAAGTTCTTGAAAGTTTTTAAAAATATATATTGTTTATTTCTACTAATGTCCCAGTAGAAATTTTCATTACATACAAATTCAGACTGCAGCCTGATTATTGGAATTCTGGACATTCAAAGTTATCAGGTGTCTGTTTAATAATGTCGTATTTTATATTTAATTTTGCAATTATAGAAATGATACTAGTACATTCTGCTATATTTCACTCCAGACTCTCTGCTAATGTAAGAATTGATCAAGTCATTTTTGTGAAATTTATATCATATAAACATTCAAATAGATATTCTTCCTGTTTACATAGAAAACTAATGTAAGAAAAAGCTCTAAAATACATTTTCTATTCTAACAATTTATAGGTATAAAGTATACAGTCATACGTGATTTATGAGTAACTATTAAGACATGCAGAGTACACACAATCACAACTACTATTGCTTATCTTTGTTATTTGTGAGGAAATTATTGTTCTGGTAATGTTGCCTGTATTAATTAATAAATAATACACNATAGACAATATGCAAAGCTTTTTTTTCAGTTTACAGCAGTATTTATTACACAAAATTTAAGTAAAGCTTAACATGCCGATTTTGCCCCGGTCTCCCATATGTTTATTAAAAGACAATGAAATGGTTCCTTCTAAACCATTTATTTCTGATTATAGATAAGATTTATGCAAGAAATTATTGTTTAATTTTTTTACATAAAACTTAATAATTTCTTGACCAAAATAATATAAAGTATAAACATCTTTATATTCGTCGTACGATATATTAGATGGTGAATACATCCTGATACAGGATGCCAGGACACTACATTCACGTCCCTAGATGTCTCACTACAGTATTCCAATGTGGCATATTCCCATTTCAACCAGTTTGGTTGTTACATCGTTTTGTACCTTTTCATTTGAACAGTCCTCGTACATTGCAGTTATTTTTGCATATATTTCTTGTACAAAATTTTTGAAATCTATGTTTATCGGAATTAGATGTAACTGACAAATTTTATAACGATGAATTTGTAAAAATTTTGTTAAAAATGATATTTTGTTTATGAAAACCGACTGTAATAACATATAATCAGTGATGTTCTTCAATGAAAAAAGTAAATACAGTAGAGCGTCGTTTATCCGAAAGCTGGTTATCCGAAACGTCCGNACACTTGGTGTTTTCCTGTTTGGTTTGTATTGTTAACATCATGTTTATCATTTGCAAAAATTTTCTTTATGAAATTAACATTTGACTCTGCCGTGCTGACATCTTGACAAACTCTTTTGCATTCCTCAGTTTTCGTTTAAGTGTTAACGATTGCGGATTTGTGATGAATACTTACTGGTATTCCAGTAGTGGTATTATTTGGTATGTCATATAACAATTTCTTGCCAGAACAGAGGAAATTGAATCTAAACGTTTTTTTTATTGAGAAACCCACAGCAAACTGAATCAAAATCGTATTGCTTTTTTGGATTGGTTGGAATTTACTTATTGTGTTCATGGAAACGTCAAAACAGTTGAAAATCTGTTGACAACCCAAGCATTAATCCATGCAGTCACGTTTCAACAAGCAGAAGGTTTTTGTGTCATTTTCAGCCAAATTTTAATCTTAACATTATGGGTGCAAGGCGAACTGTTATAAACACTTGATATCAGAATATTTATATTATTGCCTTACATCAAGACTGTTCAACAACCTATTCTGTAAAGTAAAATAAATAACATTTGCAACCAACCCAAATGATGATGTAGCAGGTTTTAAGTTTATGCAATAAGTTGAAAGAACAATTTCTTCACACAAGCCATTAATGCCAATAAGATAGCTAATCCAAAATTTAATAATAAAAATTAATTAATTTTTCAAACTAATAGTAGTATGGGTTCGATACAGCTTAGCTTATACTTTTAAATTTGTATAGGAGTTAAATGTAAAGCTCTGATACGGTTGGATTTTACTTTATTTTAACTCAAAAATTAAATAATTTTTCGATAAAACGAAAATTATTTAATTTTCAACTTTACAAAATATCGTGGTATAGATAATGTTAAAAAAGTACGATTGGTTGATAGTTTCTTAAGAAAATATGATTGGTTGGTATTTTATAGAAATTACTTTTTAAAGAGAGAATTTGTGTTTTATATTTAAGCTGCAATCATAGAAATGTATGCTTTTGTTATTACTTACCATGACTAAAAAATTATTCTGCTTCTCCTTGTTTGTAGAAATCTCTGAATGCTTGTATTTCTGTGGCAAATAACTTTTCGTTCGATATTTCCGACAATTTTCCATATATCTTGTGCTACTTTAAAGTCAGAGAAATTTCGAAAAGAGAATCAAAATATAGTTTTATAACTGTTGATGAAAACAGAAGAATTAACAATATATGTAACGGATTATACACTTTGTTGGAATGATGTCCAGAATACTTGAAAGAAATACAATGAATGATTGGTCAATGAAGAGTTTGGTTAATAAACAAATTGGATAACGAACACTTTCGTGAAAGATTTTTGTTTCAAACATCAAACACATGCTCGGATAACAAACACCTCACAGAACAAACACAAGAAGAAGAGACGTAAATTAATGAATACCGATTGGTGTTCCCTTGATTTCAGGTAACAATTCGAAACTTTTTCGAGTGTGGGAGAATTCGACATCAATGCTCAGCACGATATATACTGATCGGATAGTATTCCTTCGAACTTTGAAACTCTTCCTTGTAATTTTAGCCTTTTATTTTTCTGATAAAAACAATTCTTTTATAGTATTCGCGAGACTGTCTGGCAGGCACTCGTTAAGTTTTTTGTCAAGGCGTTTATTTTCGAAAGGTAAGAGTATAATAGCAAAGGTATAGAGTGGGCAGATGTCTGATGTTGATGGGCGGTATGGCTCGAACAGGTCTACAGTAGGCCACAGTTCAATTTTAACTAAAAATACTCTATTATCGAGCAGCTTAATTAATTAATTAAGAAGTAACAAAAATTACATCTGAGAAATAAAGAACATTGAGGAGCTCATAATGGAACCTGAAACAGATCTGACGACAGAAGAATGTCAAGAACCTTCGAATGAAGAACACCAAAATCTCGGGGAGATATGTTTTTTCTTGAAAAACAGAATTAATGCCGATATCTGCTGTTAAAAACCTTTTGAAGAAGTGGGAGAATGTCAGAACGATGGTCTTAGATTTGCATTCAAACCAGGTTGAGGATAATAAGATTAGGGATCTCTACAATTACAATGCTATTAATTACTTTTGAAAAATCTTGAAAAAGAGAGAAAAGCAATCAACATTAGAAAGATTTTTAACCTCGCGAATGGAAAAAAGCATGTCTAATAAAAATGCAAGACTACGTATATATGTGATTTTATTATTACATATAAATAAATGTAAGAAAGTATATTTTTTGGGGGGTGTCCANATTATTCTTCATTTGTACAAATCTCTGGATGCTTGTATTTCTGCAGCAAATAACTTTTCGTTCAATATTCCTGACAATTTTCCATACAACTTGTACTATTTTAAAGTCAGAAAAATTTGGAAAAAAGAAGCAAAATATAGTTTTATAATTGTTGATGAAAACTGAAGAATTAACAATATATGTAACGGATTATACAGTTTGTTGGAATGATGTCCAGAATACTTGAAAGAAATACAGTGGGTGATTGGTCAAGGAACAGTTTCGTTAATAAACAAATCGGATAACGAACACTTTCGTGAAACATTTTTGTTTCAAACATCAAACACATGATCGGAAAACGAACACCTCACAGAACAAACACAAGAAGAAGCGACGTAAAGTAATATGTTTTTTCCTGAAAAACAGAATTAATGTCGATATCTGCTATTAATTAAAGATCTTTTAAAGAACTGGGAAAATGTCAGAACAATGGTCTTAGAATTGCATTCAAACCAGGTTGAGGATAATAAGATTAGGGATCTCTACAATTTCAATGCTATTAATTACTACTGAAAAATCTTGAAGAAGAGAGAAAAGCAATCAACATTAGACAGATTTTTTAACCCCACGAATGGAAAAAAAACATGTCTATCTAATAAAAATGCAAGACTGTGTATATACGTGATTTTATTATTACATATAAATAAATGTAAGAAAGTATATNTATTAGTTTATAAGTGTTCCAATCAGCTTTTGTAAAATCTGTAATTTATTGATGTCTTTAGATCTCGTAAACGTTTAAACCAGAAAGAGTTGGAAGGAGCTTTAGAACAAGTATTGAAAGAATTAATCGAAGAAAGTGAAGAGCCAGAAGAAATTGACTATCACAGGGAAAGTGAGACAGAAAAGGAAATTATAGAAAAAAATTCTCATGATAGTAATTCCAAACAATCGGAATGACATAGATAATGTTCTCATAGTAGAAAACAGTAAACATGGAAGATAGAAAAAGACAAATATCGATTTTAAATAGGAAAAGTTAAAAAAAAACTCCGTGGATCAGTAAATCTGTATATTTGGATAACACAAAAGCAAAAAGTATTATGATAATATTGCCGGAACCAAAACTTACCGCCGAAAATACAAATAAAGAAATAGATGCATTTCACTTGTTTATTACTGATCAAATGATTGAAGGAATCATAACAAATACT